TTAACTTATTTTCATAAATTCATCATTGTTCCTTTGATGTTGGCACTTCAATTAATTAACTAGCAGGAGACATGGGCCAGGGAGAGATAAATGATATGAGAGTTGTGTGGAACACTCACCTTTAGGATATATTACCCTGCCAAACACAACACTGTTCAAGCATGACTCAAGTTGTCCCTTTTTGATAATTTAAGGAAGGCTGCCAGGCTGTACAACAAAATATCAAATGACCTGGGCTTTTGATCCTAGATGAGTCTTAGTGACCTGGGCTTTGGATCCAAGAGGAGTCTTAATGACCTGGCTTTGGATCCTAGAGGAGTCTTAATGACCTGGCTTTGGATCCTAGAGGAGTCTTAATGACCTGGCTTTGGATCCTAGAGGAGTCTTAATGACCTGGCTTTGGATCCTAGAGGAGTGTTAATGACCTGGTCTTTGGATCGTAGGGGATTCTTAATGACCTGGGCTTTGGATCCTAGAGGAGTCTTAATGACCTGGTCTTTGGATCCTAGAGGAGTCTTAATGACCTGGGCTTTGGATCCTAGAGGAGTCTTAATGACCTGGGCTTTGGATCCTAGAGGAGTCTTAATGACCTGGGCTTTGGATCCTAGAGGAGTCTTAATGACCTGGGCTTTGGATCCTAGAGGAGTCTTAATGACCTGGGCTTTGGATCCTAGAGGAGTCTTAATGACCTGGGCTTTGGATCCTAGAGGAGTCTTAATGACCTGGGCTTTGGATCCTAGAGGAGTCTTAATGACCTGGCTTTGGATCCGAGGGAACAGCCTAAATCTTTGTGTGTGGATGTGCGTGTGGATGTGTGTGTGGGACTTGATTTCTATACAATGTCGTGACGTGACTTACTTTAATGTATAACTGTTATTTATCGAATCACCTAACTATGTTTAATTGTCACTCGATTAAATTAATCATGTAACAATTAACTCATTAGGAATTTGGGGCACCACGGAAGAAGTTGTTTAACGAGTTACCATCTCCCGAATTAAACTCTTAGAAGATATATATGTTATATATCGATAACAGTCACTTATTAAATAATTACCTCTTATCAGTCTCATTCTGAACATCGCATAATCCTTGAACCTGCAAGAACCCTAACCTTATTGATGAATCAGCAATACACAAATTGGCTTAATCATTTATTTACTAACTAACTAAATAATAAAACAATACAAAAACATATAGGTTTTTGATTACTAACTTAATACAATGAAAACAGGTCCCTAGTGGACTGGACTAACATTAGCATGAATGCTTGGGTAGTGGGGGGGTCAGAATGGAAGGGAGAGACAGAGATTCAAACTATCGTGGTTTATTTGGAAACTATGCTCACAGTAATCATAATACTTATGCACCTTAATAACGCTCATTCGGATTAGAAATGCAACATGTATTTACGTGTAGCTGTCCTCGATAGTTAAGTTGATGATGTAGGACTCTGGTTTGCCCACCAGAGATCCCAATGTCCTTGGTAGAGTTTCTGGTCGTAGTGCTGGTTAGAATGGATACTTCAGATGTACCAGCGGTTGTCTGAGAGGGATTGTCCTTCCCACCTCGTGTCTTTAGTGAAAGTTCTCTAGACGACTATACATGCCAGCTGCAGACTGAAATGATAAGGTCTAGTGCATTGTCTTCTTCTTCACCTCATGTAGAGGTTGAGAGTTTCATAGTTTCTCCATTTCAAACGTGTGGACTAACGTCTCACGTTTTCTGATCTTTCTGGTCTGGTAGAAATTCAACCATTTGCAACGTTTAGCTCACGCTTCACGTCTGCTGGTCTTCCTTTGGTAATGGAGTTGTAGTTTTAAACCATTTTGTAACGTTTAGCTCACGCTTCACGTCTGCCGGTCTGAGGTGAATTTCGGCTTTTTATGCACTCGGGGTAAAAGGGGCGTTCCATCATGTTTGTGCTCATCTGGGCGTGGCCACTGACTGAGAACAAATCAATATGGAAAACAATCATCTCATCTAGAATGCTAAAATCACATTGTTATCTTCACAAAAGTATTATTATACTTAATCATTCATTTTATACAACAATTAGATGCAAACCTCATAACTGGGAAGTGTACCCCCCCTACCTTTTAAACAGAGCATGTATTTTTGGCTGGGTGTGGGTCGATGTGAGCTGGAACTGTAATACTGTAATAGTCTTCAATAATATATGCGGTCAGAGATCATCTCTCTCTCTCTCTCTCTCTCTCTCTCTACTCTCATCTCTATCTCTCTCTCTCTCTCTCTCTATCTTGCTCTCTCTCTCTCTCTCTCTCTCTCTCTCTCTCTCTCTCTCTCTCTCTCTCTTGCTCTCTCTCTTCTCTCGCTCTATCTCTCTCTCTCTCTCTCTCTCTCTCTCTCTCTCTCTCTCTCTCTCTATCTCTCTCTCTCTCTCTCATCTCTCTCTCTCTCTCTCTCTCTCTCTCTCTCTCTCTCTCTCTCTCTCTCTCTCTCTCTCTCTCACTACTCTGTCTCACTCTCTCTATCTGTCTATCTCTCTATCTGTCTCTCTCTTCTTGTCTTTCTTTCCATCTCTCCCTCTTTCTGTCTCTGTTTTTTCTATCTCCCTCTCTTAGTCCATGCCGCTCTGTCATTGCTTGTCCATATATGTATATATTCTTAAATTCCATTCCTTACTAGATTTGTTTGTATAGGTATATGTTGTGAAATTGTTAGATATTACTTGTTAGATATTACTGCACTGACGGAGCTAGAAGCACAAGCATTTCGCTACACCCGCAATAACATCTGCTAAACACATGTATTTGACAAATACAATTTGATTTGATTTGATTTGTCCATCTCTCATAACCCCCTCTCTCCTTCTCTCATAACCCCATCTCTCTGTCTCTCATAACCCCTTCTCTCTGTCTGTCATAACCCCCTCTCTCTGTCTGTCATAAACCCCTCTCTCTGTCTCTCATAACCCCCTCTCTCCTTCTCTCATAACCCCCTCTCTCCTTCTCTCATAACCCCCTCTCTCCTTCTCTAATAACCCCCTCTCTCCATCTCTCATAACCCCCTCTCTCCATCTCTCATAACCCCCCCTCTCTGTCTGCCATAACCCCCTCTCTCCTTCTCTCATAACCCCCTCTCTCCTTCTCTCATAAACCACCCCCTCTCTCCATCTCTCATAACCCCCTCTCTGTCTGTCATAACCCCTCTCTCCTTCTCTCATAACCCCTTCTTCTGTCATGTCATAACCCCTCTCTCCTTCTCTCATAACCCCCTCTCCTTCTTCATAACCCCTCTCTCCTTCTTCATAACCCCCTTCCATCTCTATAAACCCCTCTCTCCATCTCTCATAACCCCTCTCTCTGTCTGTCATAACCCTCTCTCCTTCTCTCATAACCCGCTCTCTCATCTCTCATAAACCCCTCTCTCCTTCTCTCATAACCCCCTCTCTCTGTCATAACCCCTTCTCTCTGTCTCTCACAACCCCCTCTCTCGTCTGTCATAACCCCCTCTCCATCTTCATAACCCCCTCTCTGTCTGCATAAACCCCTCTCTTTTTTCATAACCCCTCTCTCCCTTTTCTCATAACCCCCTCTTCTGTCTGTCATAACCCTTCTCTCTGTCTGTCATAACCCCCTCTCTCCTTCTCTCATAACCACCTCTCTCTGTCGTTCATAAACCCCTCTCTCTGTCTGTCATAACCCCCTCTCTCTTCCGTCATAACCCCCTCTCTCTATCTCTATAACCCCTCTCTCCATCTCTCACAACACCCTTCTCTGTCTGTCATAACCCCCTCTCTCCTTCTCTCATAACCCCCTCTCTCTTTCTCTCATAACCCCCTCTCTCCATCTCTCATAACCCCCTCTCTCTGTCTGTCATAACCCCTCTCTCCTTCTCTCATAAACCGCTCTCTCCATCTCTCATAACCCCCTCTCTCCTTCTCTCATAACCCCTTCTCTCTGTCTGTCATAACCCCTTCTCTCTGGTCTGTCATAACCCCCTCTCTCCTTCTCTCATAACCCCCTCTCTCCTTCTCTCATAAACCCCCCTCTCTCCTTCTTCAGTAACCCCCTCTCTCCCATCTCTCATAACCCCCCTCTCTGTCTGTCATAACCCCCTCTCTCCTTCTCTCATAACCCCCTCTCTCTGTCTGTCATAACCCCTTCTCTCTGTCTGTCATAACCCCCTCTCTCCTTCTCTCATAACCCCCTCTCTCCATCTCTCATAACCCCCTCTCTCTGTCTGTCATAACCCCCTCTCTCCTTCTCTCATAACCCCCTCTCTCTTTCTCTCATAACCCCTTCTCTCTGTCTGTCATAACCCCCTCTCTCCTTCTCTCATAACCCCCTCTCTCTTTCTCTCATAACCCCTTCTCTCTCTCTGTCATAACCCCCTCTCTCTGTCTGTCATAACCCCCTCTCTCCTTCTCTACCCCATAGAGAGAGAAGAGTACAGAGGGGGTATGCAGTTAGCGCACATGGCTGCCTCGACCTCACTAAAAGACATGACCTCAGGCGAGAGGGAGCGCAATCTGCCATCTTAGAGAAGGGCTGGAGGGGGAGAGAAGGCAGATATAGGCTATGTTTGTGCCATAGTGTTGTAAACAACAGCATCGCAAACAGAGGGATTTTCAAGTGTTTCGTAATGCGGACCTGGCGATCTGAAAACATGTTTTCGCCCTGGTTTTGATTTTAGATCTGTAATGAATATATGTGTTTCAGGGAAGGTTGTCCTTGCAAGTTTCGACTGACAGGCATGCGAGTGTGAAACTTTGTGGACTTGTGTTTTTTTTAAGTGAGCACTTAACTCAGGCTATCAATCTCGCTCAAAGCCTTGCAGTCCCAAAGCATGACATCACATTAGTTGGCTGTTCAGGGTCACTTGTTTAGGGAATTATGCTCTGAGGGGCAACGGCTTCTGTTTATTCATAAAGACACAGTTGAGCAAAATTAGCATTGTGCATTTTAAGTATTGAATACAACAGGGACGCATTGTATTTCAACCCATCTGAAGGTTTTGTGTTTCTTCTTCCAGGTGATGGGAACCCCAAAGAAAGCAGCCCTTTCATCAACAGCAGTGATGCTGCGGAGAAGAGCCAGCAATACGACGGCAAACATATGGCTCTGTTTGAGGTATGTATACGCACACACACACACACATACACACATGCACAGACAGACACGCACACACACACACACATACACACACACACACATGCACAGACAGACACACACACATTTACTCATGCATGTGCAACACAAATCAAGGCTGTGATGACCAGAGGATGGTCCTGCCTGTGAGACTGCAATTTGTAGGCAATTTGTAGGCACACACACACACACACACACACACACACACACACACACGGTTCAGCAAGTGATTGAATAAGGTCCCTGACATCGATTAATGAGGGTAATTACTGTTTGAAGGGTAAGGGAAAACCTCAGGTTAATACAAGCACATTTCCAAACCGCTACAGAAAAGCCAAGTGTAATTTTTTTATATCTCAAAGGGAATTAAGAGTGGTTTGTTACTGTATTATATAGTTTGTATTCATAGTGCACATTTTATATCTTACACATTGCTTCCCACTTGCTTCGAGGCAAGCAACACTGAAGCATGCATGAGAGCACCAGCTGTTCCGGACGACTGTGTGATCACGCTCTCCATAGCCGATGTGAGCAAGATCTTTAAACAGGTCAACATTCAGAAGGCCGCGGGGCCAGACGGATTACAAGGACATGTACTCAGAGCATGCGCGGACCAACTGGCAAGTGTCTTCACTGACATTTTCAACCTCTCCCTGACCGAGTCGGTAATACCTACATGTTTCAAGCAGACCACCATAGTCCCTGTGCCCAAGAATGCGAAGGTAGCCTGCCTAAATGACTACCGCCCTGTAGCACTCACGTAGGTAGCCATGAAGTGCTTTAAAAGGCTGGTCATGGCTCACATCAACACCATCATCCAGGAAACCCTAGACCCACTCCAATTCGCATACCGCCCCAACAGATCCACAGATGATGCAATCTCAATTGCACTCCACACTGTCCTTTCCCACCTGGACAAAAGGAACACCTATGTGAGAATGCTGTTCATTGACTACAGCTCTGCGTTCAACACCATAGTGTCCACAAAGCTCATCACTAGACACCTCCCTCTGCAACTGGATCCTGGACTTCCTGACGGGCCGCCCCCAGGTGGTAAGGGTAGGCAACAACACATCTGCCACGCTGACCCTCAACACGGGGGCCCCTCAGGGGTGCGTGCTTAGTCCCCTCCTGTACTCCCTGTTCACCCACGACTTCAACCCCATCATTAAGTTTACTGATGACACAACGGTGGTAGGCCTGATCACCAACAACGATGAGACAGCCTACAGGGAGGAGGTCAGAGACCTGCCAGTGTGGTGCCAGGACAACAACCTCTCCCTCAACGAGATCAAGACAAAGGAGCTGATCGTGAACTACAAGAAAAGGAGGGCCGAACACGCCTCCATTCTCATCGACGGGGCAGTAGTGGAGCGGGTCGAGAGCTTCAAGTTCCTTGGTGTCCACATCACCAACAAACTATCATGGTCCAAACACACCAAGACAGTCGCGAAGAGGGCACGACAACGCCTATTCCCCCTCAGGAGACTGAAAAGATTTGGCATGGGTCCCCAGATCCTCAAAAAGTTCTACAGCTGCACCATCGAGAACATCCTGACCGGTTGCATCACCGCCTGATATAGCAACTGCTCAGCAGCTGACCGTAAGGCGCTACAGAGGGTAGTGCGTACTGCCAAGTACATCACTGGGGCCAAGCTTCCTGCCATCCAGGACCTCTATACTAGGCGGTGTCAGAGGAAGGCCCAAAAATTGTCAAAGACTCCAGTCACCCAAGTCATAGACTGTTCTCTCTGCTACTGCACGGCAAGCGGTACCGGAGCGCCAAGTCTAGGTCCAAAAGGCTCCTTAACAACTTCTACTCCCAAGCCATAAGACTGCTGAACAATTAATCAAATGGCCACCCAGACTATTTGCATTGACCCCCCCCTTGTTTTTACACTGCTGCTACTCGCTGTTTATTATCTATGCATAGTCACTTTACCCCTGCCTACATGTACAAATTACCTCAATTACCTCGACTAACCTGTACCCCCGCACATTGACTCGGTTACCGGTACCCCCTGTATATAGCCTCGTTATTGTTATTTTATTGTGTTACTTTATTTTATTTTGTAAATATTTTCTTAACTCTATTTTCTTAACTGCATTGTTGGTTAAGGGCTTGTAAGTAAGCATTTCCTGTTGTATTCGGCATATGTGACAAATACAATTTGATTTGATTTGACATTATGTGGCACCACCTCAGATATGTAAAGGCATCCATTTTGCATCAATATGCTCACTACATTGCCTGCTATAGTAATGTTTTATTTAAGCAATAAGGCCCTCGAGGGTGTGGTATATGGCCAGTATACCACGGCTAAGGGCTGTTCTTATGCATGACGCATCGCGGAGTGCCTGGATACAGCCCTTAGCCATGGTATATTGGCCATATACCACAAACCCCAGAGGAGCCTTATTGCTATTATAAACGTTACCAACGTGATTAGAGCAGTAAAAATACATGTTTTGTCATACCCGTGGTCTGATATACCACGGCTGTCAGCCAATCAGCATTCAGGGCTCGAACCACCTAGTGTATAATATGGAATTGACCATTTGCTATGTTATCCTGTGTGTGTCAATGCACTCTGCAGGAGGAGATGGAGACCAGTCCCATGGTATCAACCATGATCAGTAGCCTGGCCAACTACTCCAGCCTCCCCCAGGGCAGCAAGGAGCACGAGGAGGAGGCAGACAATGAGGAGGAAGACAAAAAGAAGAAGAAACCTATCAAGGTACAGCACTGGTCAATCAGACCCATAACCCAGCACTGGTCAATCAGACCCGTAACACAGCACTGGTCAGACCTGTAACACAGCACTGGTCAGTCAGACCTGTAACACAGCACTGGTCAGACCTGTAACACAGCACTGGTCAATCAGACCCGTAACACAGCACTGGTGAATCAGACCTGTAACCCAGCACTGGTCAATCAGACCCATAACCCAGCACTGGTCAATCAGACCCGTAACACAGCACTGGTCAACAGCCTAACACAGCACTGGTCAGTCAGACCTGTAACACAGCACTGGTCAGACCTGTAACACAGCACTGGTCAGTCAGACCTGTAACACAGCACTGGTCAATCAGACCCGTAACACAGCACTGGTCAGACACTGTAAACATACAGCACTGGTCAATCAGACCCGTAACACAGCACTGGTCAGACCCATAACCCAGCACTGGTCAATCAGACCCGTAACCCAGCACTGGTCAGACCTGTAACCCAGCACTGGTCAATCAGACCCATAACCCAGCACTGGTCAATCAGACCCGTAACACAGCACTGGTCAGACCTGTAACACAGCACTGGTCAATCAGACCCTGTAACACAGCACTGGTCAGTCAGACCCATAACAGAGCGCTGGTCAGTCAGACCCGTAACACAGCACTGGTCAGACCCGTAACACAGCACTGGTCAGACCTGTAACACAGCACTGGTCAATCAGACCCGTAACACAGCACTGGTCAGTCAGACCTGTAACACAGCACTGGTCAGACCTGTAACCCAGCACTGGTCAATCAGACCCATAACAGAGCGCTGGTCAGTCGGACCCGTAACACAGCACTGGTCAGACCCGTAACACAGCACTGTTCAGCCATAACACAGTGCTGGTCAGTCAGACCTGTAACACAGCACTGGTCAATCAGACCTGTAACACAGCACTGGTCAATCAGACCCGTAACACAGCACTGGTCAGACCTGTAACCCAGCACTGGTCAATCAGACCCGTAACACAGCACTGGTCAGACCCATAACCCAGCACTGGTCAATCAGACCCATAACCCAGCACTGGTCAGTCAGACCCATAACACAGCACTGTTCAGCCATAACACAGTGCTGGTCAGTCAAACCTGTAAAATAGCGCTGGTCAGTCAGACCCGTAAAATAGCAAGTACCACAGCACTGATCACTGATCACTGATCCGCCAGGCACGTAAAACACAAAACCAATCAGTCAGGTCCATGTACACTGTGACCTGTGAAGGTACTTTTCAGTTAAAGTAAAAAATATGTCTTCTCCATAACAGGAAATGCACACCTACAGTCAGGTCCTAAATTATGCCAGGAGGCTGAAACTTGGCCTGAAGTGGATCTTCCAGCAAGACAATAACCACAAGCACACATAAAAATCCACAAAGAAATGTTTAATTCACCACAAAATCAACATTTTGAAATGGCCGTCTCAGTCTCCGGACTTGAACCCCATTGAAAATATATGGTTTGAATTGAAGAGAGCAGTCCATAAGTGCAGACAAAGGATATCAAGGAGCTGGACAGATTCTGTATAGAGGAATGTTTAAGATCCCTCCCAATTTGTTCTCCAATCTCATAAAACATTTGAGAAAAAGGCTCAGTGCCATTATCCTTGCAAGGTGTGGTATTGAAAGGTATTGAAAACAGGGGTGCCAATGATGTTGACCCCTATCTTTCTGAGATTTTGTTGTATTACTTGATAAAAAAAATAATATTTCTCTGAACATTTGTATTACTATAAAATAATATATATATATATATTTGTTTTTATGAGCATACACACATAGCTCAGTATTAGTATTATTTATTTTATACAGTCTTTTTTGCTCATCTTTATCAATAATAATAATGTTGGACCTTACTGTATGATGGTTGTGTTATGGCAATGGACAGTGAAAGCCTTTTACTCAGAGACTGGAGTGTAAACATATGGCTTTGTCAGATATGTAACACAGTCCGTGTTGGTCGATAGCAAATTCTGTTTACTGCATGCTGGTCTCCGCTGAGGTTCGCTGTGACAGTGTTGTGTTATGTTGTCAGAGAAGTGTCCAAGCGTTGCCAGTCAACCATGTGGGAATGCCTGATCTGTCTCCCAGATGACAGCCCTCAGTGAATTTTGACCCTGGGCTGTCTCAGTGTCTGCCCAACGAGGAGAGTCGCCTAACAGACCTGCCTAGTTAAGAGCCTGACCTTTTCACCCTGGGTTTTTCCTCATCTATTTCTGTTTTGGTTTCTTTATTTATTTCATTCTTGGTTCTTTTTCCAGGCTCCCTGTTTACCTTGCTCCTTCTTTCAGTACTTCTACCTGGATGTCACCTGTCCCTCTGTAAGGTTCCTTCTATCTGGATGTCACCTGTCTCTCTGTATGGTTCCTTCTACCTGGATGTCACCTGTCTCTCTGTAAGGTTCCTTCTACCTGGATGTCACCTGTCCCTCTGTAAGGTTCCTTTCTATCTGGATGTCACCTGTCCCTCTGTAAGGTTCCTTCTACCTGGATGTCACCTGTCTCTCTGTATGGTTCCTTCTACCTGGATGTCACCTGTCCCTCTGTAAGGTTCCTTCTATCTGGATGTCACCTGTCTCTCTGTATAGTTCCTTCTACCTGGATGTCACCTGTCTCTCTGTATGGTTCCTTCTACCTGGATGTCACCTGTCTCTCTGTATGGTTCCTTCTACCTGGATGTCACCTGTCCCTCTGTATGGTTCCTTCTATCTGGATGTCACCTGTCCCTCTGTAAGGTTCCTTCTACCTGGATGTCACCTGTCTCTCTGTATGGTTGTATGGTTCCTTCTACCTGGATGTCACCTGTCCCTCTGTAAGGTTCCTTTCTATCTGGATGTCACCTGTCCCTCTGTAAGGTTCCTTCTACCTGGATGTCACCTGTCTCTCTGTATGGTTCCTTTCTATCTGGATGTCACCTGTCCCTCTGTATGGTTCCTTCTATCTGGATGTCACCTGTCCCTCTGTATGGTTCCTTCTATCTGGATGTCACCTGTCTCTCTGTATGGTTCCTTCTATCTGGATGTCACCTGTCCCTCTGTAAGGTCCCTTTACTTGGATGTCACCTGTCTCTCTGTAAGGTTCCTTTCTATCTGGATGTCACCTGTCTCTCTGTATGGTTCCTTCTATCTGGATGTCACCTGTCTCTCTGTATGGTTCCTTCTACCTGGATGTCACCTGTCTCTCTGTATGGTTCCTTCTATCTGGATGTCACCTGTCTCTCTGTATGGTTCCTTCTATCTGGATGTCACCTGTCCCTCTGTATGGTTCCTTCTATCTGGATGTCACCTGTCTCTCTGTATGGTTCCTTCTATCTGGATGTCACCTGTCTCTCTGTATGGTTCCTTCTATCTGGATGTCACCTGTCCCTCTGTAAGGTCCCTTTACTTGGATGTCACCTGTCCCTCTGTAAGGTCATTTCTACCTGGATGCCACTTGTCCCTCTGCAAGGTTTATTCTACCTTGATGTCACCTGTCCCTATATAAGGACCCTTCTACCTGGAAGTCACCTGTCTCTCTGTAAGGTCCTTGCTTCTTTTCCCTCTATATATCGGATTCAGTACTCCTCCAACGCTATCGCCAGGCGGAAGGGGCTAATCTTTCCCGTGTCGCCTTCCCCAGCCCTTCGATACTTAATTAGCCTGCTCGCTACGCCAAGCAGCTGCTTCTCCAATCAGAGGTCCATTCCAAAGGCAATCTCCCCATCACCACGAGAGGCTTTTCATTAACGTAGCCAATGGCATTTTATCATTCCGACAGCGATCCCTTTCTCTCGCCTCTCCTCTTTCCTCTCTCTCTCTCCTTCATCAGCAGCCCCTCAAGTATGGCAGCCAGAGCATTTCATATGGCGCAGTGTGAAAAGACAGATTAGAGGGTTTTAATACCGTGCGACATCAGGGAACAGTCTGGAGGTTGTCGGGGTTAAGATGGAAACCGTTCTGCCGATCTGTGGAGGCTTTTCCCGTCTGAGTTTCTATGGTGTTTCCCTTCCAGGTCATGTGTTTTACGATGCCTCTCCCTTCTCTCGTTAGAAGCACCAGTCTGGCATTAATATTCACGGTGGTAGCCTCGCAAAGTTTGTATCTTGAATAATGTTGCTTTTTGTTATACTACAGTTGTCTGCAGTTTGACAGTGTTGATAATCGAGCTAAGTGGAGAATTCAAAGCGTACGTGTGTCCCTACTTAGCAAACTGAAAGTGTGGTTAAAACCAAACAGTCTTCATGGATTTCTTGTAGCAGCACCAGAATATTCCAGCAAACAGGAAGGCCCATTTACTAAGCATTTGGTCCCCATGGGAATGTCCAGTAAGTAAGGAAGTAAATGGGATGTTGGACTGAATGTTCTGCCTAGATAATTGGCTAAATGACACACATTCACATATAGACATAGGCAGGCACCTTTACTACCCATGAACAAACACTGTCAAACTGCAGACACAACTGTAGTATAACACAAAGCAACATTATTCAAGATACAAACTTTGCGAGGCTACCACCGTGAATATTAATGACATACTGGGGCTTCTAAAGAGAGAAGGGAGAGTCTCTCTCTCTCTCTCTCTCTCTCTCTTGCTCTCCTCTCCTCTCTCTCTCTCTCCTCTCTCTCCTCTCCGCCCTCCTTTCATATATCTGCGTCTTCCTCCGATCCTCTGCTCGTCCTCTCGTCATCTCCTCTCTCTCTCTCCTCTCTCTCCTCCGTCTCTCTTCTCCTCTCTCTCTCCTCTCTCATCTCCCTTCTCCCCTTCCCTTCTTTCTCTCTGTCCTCGCTCACACACTCACATAGACATACACACCCTCCTCACCCTCCTCCTCTCTCTCCTCTCTCTCCTCCTCTCTCGCCCTCTCTTCTCCTCCTTCCCCTACCCCCTCTGTCTCTCCGCTCCCACAACAAACACACACACACACACACCAACACAACACAACACACACACACACACACACACACACACACACACACACACACACACAAACATGCCGCAGGTTAATCCATACCCATCGGCAGACATTCGGAGGGAGATATTTGGTGCCTTGTTTCCTCTCTCTCTCCCCCTCTT